GGTGCTTTTCACCCCCTCGTCCAAGTCGCTGATGAAGATGTTCCACAGTGTGGGCCCGAGGACCAAGCCCTGGGGGACCCCACTGCCCACATCCCTCCAGGCCAAAAATGACCCACCCACTACCACTTTCTGGGTGCAGCCCTCCAGCCAATTGGCGACCCATCTGACTGTGTAGGCATCGACACCACAATCTCCTAATTTTTTAATGTGTCGAAGGCCTTCCTAAAGTCCAGGAAGACTATGTCCACCACGACACCTGCATCCAAGGATTTTGTGACCTGGTCATAGAAGGCCACCAGGTTGGTCTGACAGGACCTGCCTCTAATGAACCCATTTGGTTGCCCCTAAGCATACACTCCCCTGCTTTCCCCTCGCAGATGTGATCATATAATCATTCTTTAGGTTTGTATGTGTGGTTGGAAAGCCAATCCCTCCCACCTCCAATTTAGAATAAAAAACTCACCAAACTACAGCCCCATCCTGCTTGTGCACAGCTGTGGCTCCTCTGAATGAAGCCAGCACCCATGAAAAAGCAACATTTCCTGACTCTAGTGTGTGCGGGCTGGTCGCGAGCCGGGCCCTTTTTGTAGTGGTTGATTTAAAGATTATTTTACTTACGCCGAAGATGGTCGCGGTGCAGACAGGAAAACTTGCTTGAGTTGCGGTTACAGACAGGAAAGGAGAGAGGCGGACAAGAGTTCTAAACTCGCGAACTCTAGCCCAATCCCGCTGAAAGCTCTAAACACGCGAGCCTGTCGTGTCAACCGAAGTACTCGTACAGAAGAGCTCTGAATAGACTCACACGAAGTTTGCTAGGCTCCGTGGAACTTGTGCTCTGAGGTAGTCCGGTTGTCTGAACAACTGTCAGTTTTTCCAGCTGGACTCACACGGTTTGCTAGGCTCCGTGGGTCCAGTTCTTTTGCGCGCAGGAAGGGATACGTCTAGGAATCTATCGGCGACGGGGAGAGGCTAAAGGCTGATCAGACCTCTGTTGCCTGCTTGAAATGCGCTGGGTCCATAAGGATCCGCAGCGCTTAGAGATCTTCACACAGCGTGAAGTCTCCTCCTCCCGGTGTTCATGGAGTCCTCCAACTTGGGCAGAAACCACTCAAGCCTTTTATACGGCTAGCAAGCCAATCACTAGCCGCTACGTGTGAATAATTTAGAACTGGCCAATAATGGGGCTTGAATTAGCATACAAATAGCGGGAACTCTTTGCAACGAGCACTTCTGTGCTGCAACAAAGAAATGCACCCTGCAAAGAAAGCTTCAAATTGGCGGGAAATTCTCCCTTGCACCGGGGTTTTCTTTTGCAGCAGAAAACTCCACTGTGCAAAGAAGCTGTAATTTAGCGGGAACAATTTAGCAGTGCCGAAGCACACAAAAACAAAAATCACACCCTTTGGGTTGTGACATAGCAGAGTGATTCCTCTACTATCTCTGCACTGAGAAGCAGCACCCAGGGTGACGGAGAGGGTATTAACCCTCTCCCTGCCTAACAGCGTGTAGGATCTCACACTTAAATTACCTGCTGAAGTTTCACAGAGATGCATTTAGAAATGAAGGGCCTAGTTTTCTTCAAACTTACTGATACACATTCACCTCTGGACTACCAGCAAATATGCAAAACATTTCAGTTCAAGAAGTAATCTGAGGGGAGAACTTCTAAATCATGGGAAATAGAAATTTTAAAAAGTACAGAGTGCTCCTCCTGCCAAAAATATTTTGCATATATTCTCCAACCCTCACAACACCTCTTAAGAGTACATAAGAGATTAATCCTATTCATAGAGAATTGAGGAGGTTAGGAGACTTCCTGATGCACTGGATCTCATTAGTGGTAATATCATTGATCCTCTCAGGTGGATAAAACACAAGGACGAAACTGCTTCTGAAGACAAGGAAGATTTAGACAATGCTGCCAGGTCTTTAGCTGCAGAACAGTTAAACTTTACTCCCCATGTTCCACTGCTACAGATAACCTACTTACCACTAATTAAAGCCTCATTGGTGATGCGTAGGGGGTGCATGTGCACCCTCTGAGCTTGGCGGTGCACCCCCTGCAAAAAGTACTGCCAATGCTGCCGGCGATGCCTGTGGGTGGTTGCCACTCGCCACCCCTGCCCCCACTGCTGGCGAGGGTTGGAAGGGACTTCAGAAGGTCATCTAGTCCAACCCCCTGCTCAAAGCAGAACCATCCCCAACTAGATCATCCCAACCATAGCTTTGTCTAGCCCAGTCTTAAAAACCTCCAAGGATGGAGATGGGTCTACATTACAGTTTTCCATATGTTTGCCAGCAGTAGAAACAGAATTGTGCTAGCTTAAATAGATGTTAAGGCTACCAGAGTTCTAGTCTGGATCCATATCAGTCATCTTTTACTGGATATAAATGGCTTCAACTGATGGAATTGAGTCAGTTGCAATGGAGGAATTTAAAATACATGTAGAGCTCAGGAATTTTAACTACAACTCAGAGAAGGTCTACACAACATAATGGCAAAGTGGCAAATGGCCATTTCATGTCAGCACCCCCACCACTGGAACAGCACCAGTGCTAGACAAGCCAAGAGGTTTTCAAAAAACCTCAGCGTTCTCTAGTTTTAAGAAATTGTTGAGAGAGTCCTACTAGCATTAGTAACATGGTGATCCTGGGGTCCTGCATTGACTTGGGGTCATGTTTATACCACTAGCTACTACACCAATACTAAACAAACCTGCAGTGTAGAAGTACTGCACCACTATTTTAAACTGCATACATTTCCAACTGGACTAAGTCACTGCTTACACAAACTGCAGGACACTCGCATCAGAGGAACAGGGGCAGCTGTGATGCAAAGTGTCTAGGAGGCAACCAGAGTTGGGCTCTTGTTTACTTCCAGGACTATGCTCTAGGGAGTGCCAATACAGTTGTAACCCTGGTCACAGGATCCACACAGAACCTGTCCATACTGGCATAGCTACACTTCATTTTTATACTAGCAATCCCCCTAAACAAAGACATGGCTTACAGGAGGCTCTCCACTCCATTCTGCACTTCTTACTTCCCCAAATGGAATAAGCTATACATTCAAACAAGTTTCCTAGTATAACTGTATCTAAACTAGAGAGATTTTGCTGCCAAAATTATACAGGCCCCTCTTCCCCCAACCCCAGTGGCTCTCAAACTTGTTAGACTCAAGACACCCCTTGAAAAACACCAGATTTTAGTTTTCCTTTGTTTTTTGACTACAGAAAAATTGTAGAGCATTTCTTCTGTTGTAAGGAAATCGGAGAAGTCAGAATATTTTTGACATTATGGATTCCAGTTTGAAATCTCTGGATTTATTATGAGAATAATTTTAGCACTGTTAGGCGTGCAAATATTGAGTGGCACTTCACAGCACCAATGAAAGGACCTTGAGGCACTCCGGGGTGGTGCAACATCCTGGTTGAGAGTCACTGCCCTAATCAATATAGTTATGTCAACAAGAGTATAAAGCAAGCCTATCACTAACACATGTAGCTGTGGTGAACAAAGACAAAGCACCTCAGAAAAGTTGGGATGATGCCCTTCTCTTAATCAGTGGTGCACCTACACTAGAAGCATTTCCTGGTATGCCTATCCCAGTATGCTACCATGCCAAAAGAGCAGTCAAGATGAGTCCTGACACACCTTCTAGCAGAGTGAAGTCATTTCTCATGAGTGAAGCAAGTTGTGCTGATTAGAGTGCAGTTTTGCTGCTATAACTCCATCCTCAGTTAAAATGGTTGCTGGCACAGCTGTGTCAGCAATTACCCCTCTGACTGTCACAGACATCCATTGTATATATGTATCCCAACTTACCAGCAAATAAAACTAAGGTTATTATACACTGTGAAAATTTTGTATAATATTTCGTAGAATGGGGTTGTAAACTCTGCTTTGACTGCATCAGGGGAATAGCATTGCATCAGCATGTCTGGTCCTATAACAATTTTTATAGTACAACTCCCCCCGAGAAAACCCTCGATTGCCATTTGTAATTATAGGATGAAGGACAAAGCTAGGTATCAGCTTCCTACGATTAGGAATTGGTACTAGTGGCCAAAAGAAACTGCAAGAAACCCTGTACTTTTACCTGGAGAAATGAGTAGCTGCAGGTATAGGTCTAGAGCTAAGTTTAAATATAAAGCATCTACAATTAAGTCAGCATTGTTCAAAATGAGAACAGTGACACTGAGAAATGAGCGGTGTCCACAATAGTAATGCACTTAGTCGTGATGCTAGGTCTTCTTGGACAGGGCAGGAAAGGGAAGGGTGCCATATCCTATAGCTGCTTACAGACATCACACAGATAGACACACCCACCCCTCCCCACCACCAGTGCTTTATTTTAAAAACTCTGTACACTCCTGTACCAAGCCCACTGCATGCCCAGAAGCAGTATAGTGTTAGTTGGACCTGGCTCACCCAACTTGTCTACAGATTTGGCTCTTAAGGACCAAAAAGCTCTGCTTATCTAATAGTTGATTAAATCAGTGGCAAGTGCCAAAAAGCAAATCGCTGAAGCATCCAATCTATACAGATGCTGTGGAGCTGGGTCAAACTAACATGCTGCTTCTTTGGGTAAAGTGCAGGGTTTGTTTGGGTTTTTTTTTAAACATCCCACGTTGTTTTGTACTTGAGTAAGCTGAGCCACTCTACACTTTCTTTCCCCACAAACTGTGGAAGAAAGACTTTCTGGGCACCATGGAAGAAATGCAAGGCAGCCTCTGGAAGCTATGTAGAGTTGATATTCTGTTTGCAAACGTGAACAGTTAGGGCAAATTTCTACTCTGGTGGACAGCTTGCTGTGAAAACAAGGAACTAGGTTATTTAAAGAAAGTGACATTGCTGTGGACACTACGCTGCTCTGGAAGGGTGAGAATTAGTACTATAAAAGAGACCTTGTTTTATATTACGTCAAAACACCTGTGTTCAGACACTTGGAGCTGTATGGAACAAAGAACAGATTCAGACCAGCCATTTTTAATAGGCCATTTTATTGATATTTAAGATCATATTTTTTTCTCCATAATGTGCAAGATGCACTATAAAAAAAATACAGGAGGTTGCGTTAGTAAATATACATTGTTTAAGCAATGCTACGTTTTGGCAGAGTGCTGTATTTTGTTGTTTTTCACACTTGAATTAAAAACTTAAAACTCAGAGCCAGACAATCTTTGATATCAAAAAAGGATTGCTACAGGTAGAGAAAGTGGCTCTCAAAAGCAGCTGCCATATATGCATAGACCGATTACAGTATTTATCTTAAGTGAAATGTCCCTTTTGAATCTTCAAGTTTGCTGTGTAGAATTACACCTACCAAGGCACAGTTTTGTTTAGAATGCAGGTCTGTCTATTGACTGATACATGTGAAAATACAGTTGCTGTAAGATTCATGAATCAGTATTTGAGACAGTGCAAGGCCTCCATTTTTTTTTTTTTTTAACAACAGTTAATACAGTTCAGAAGCCACGTAGCTCACGTACTATCAGAACAAAAATCACACACGCACACAACTGCCCAACAGCTCCAGACAAAAAATAGAGCTAACAAATATTCAAGACAAAAAATTAAGCTCCAGATGCAGTATTGTGTATCTTGCACAACAGCATGGTTTCCAATAGCAAGGAACCCCCCCCACTAAAAACCAAAAAAAAAAGAAGCAAAAAACAACCAAGCAGCACAGCTTTTGTGCAACAAAACTGTTTATATCCTGAAAGATATAGGTTTTCATCACTGGAAAATTATCCAGTAATGTAAATATAAAAAGAAGATGAGTATCTCCCAGTTTTAGGAGCAGTCTAAAGTTGCATTTACTTGCCAACTAAAAAAAAGAAGTGGTGACTCATGTAGGAGCCATACACTTTCACACACCCCCTGAAAATTAAGCCCTTCCAATTTAGAGGGGTGAAGATTCCATCTTCCTTCATTTTACTTTAGGAAAATTAAAGCTGAAGGAAAGTAGTTATTTATGAAAGAGGTGGAGGGGGTGAAATCCAAAGCCAACCATGGCTTTTCCAGAACTGGAGTTCAAGATGGGGAGGAAGATTAAGAGAATGGAGATAAGGACTTGAAGTGACAAAAAGATAGGCAGACAGGTTAAATTGTGTTGGCAAACAGATGAGAATGAAGTTGGTTACCCAGATAAATACAACCAAAGCATTAAGACCAGGAAAGGACCACTGTATAAAGATAGATATGCATCACAAAAGCCATGCACAAAAGTATACATAAACCCCATTTTGAAAGTTGGAATTTATCCAGTTTGAGTCCATTCAACATACCCCAGTAACAGGACTGGAATACTCAGAAAAGCAAAAATGTGCACTTAATTGCATATTCAACTGCCACATATAACTAAACTAATAGAAAATGGAATATTTGAAGTGAAGTAAATTAGGAGTCAAGAATGCTACTGATACTAAAATTATACTCCACAAGAGTACCAGTACATCAAGGCTAGTACAGAGCACTGGATTTTTGCATCAACAAAATAAAGGTTTGGCCATAGTTAAAAAGAACACTTCACAGGTTTGAAAGGATTCCTAAATCAATTTGGCAAGATCAGAGACACTCCAGAAACACCTGCACATGGATTTCCTGCATCAGAGCTGCTTCTACAGGATTTCAGATGGAAGACGCTGTTGAATGTAACATTAGCATCAATATGCCCCAAGCCATAACTACAAAACAGAAGACAATGAGCAGGGTATTCATTCCCCCAGGATGTTTGTTAATGCTTTCTACTTCTCTTCTCCTGCCTCTAGTTTAATTCATAACCAGTTAAGGTTTCCACTCCCTTGGTTTAATGTCACATGAGCAAGGAGACATCCACCATTAATGCTGCTCTAGTTTGATATACCCTACTAACACTGCATTTAATCCTGAAAGACCAGTAGTGTTTGCATGCCAAGCCCTATATTACCAGTGAGCCATTCCAGACTTTAATCCTTCAGCTAAGAAAGTATTAGATCAGGTATAATTTCTCACCTGGGAATAGATTTTCTTCCAGTAGATTTTTAGCAGAATGTATTGTCAGTTAGAGGCCACCTAGTAATTAGATCAGTAGATCAGGAGAAGCCATATATGCTCACCATCTACCAGAATAGGTTTCACACTTGTAATCAACTGTGGGTGAAACTCTTGGAACAGTCCTCTTTAGCCCTTTCCCTTTTAGGGAGGCACAGGATTAAATTTTACTCTAGTTTAGTTTCACTTTAGTTTCATGTTTGCTTTGGGTAATGCATCAATAATGCACTTTTTTAAAAGGTTAAAAAAAAAAAAAGAGAGATTGGAAAGAGGGAATAAGAGCGCCAGAGCTAGATAAGCGAAATACCGACAATTTTATGGATTAGGTGCCCAAATGTAATAACCATACAATCAGTTTTGTTGTGTTTTTGTTTTACTCCACTCCTTGAGGCATGGCATCTAGACCTGTAACATGTCACCCTAATGCAGTGGATGCTGAACTCTTCTTGTGTTTATATGAAGTACCTAAACTTAATGAGGCTGTATGCTTAATGCACATAGACACAATCTATTGTAGATTTAATCTACAGTTCTCTTTAAGGGAAGCTCAGCACACCGATTTCAAAATCCATTGGCTAACTATACCAACATTTTTGTTAGAATACAACAAGTATACTGAACATACAGACAGACATACAGGCTGTCAAGTACTGGTCATTTAAAATGCAACCAAGATTATAACTCCATTTTGAATTTAAAAAAATGACTGAGGGGATGCACTGTCTATCTCGGTTACATTTTTCCTTAAACATACCAATTAAAACCTATCTATACATCATAGTATAGTTAAACACATCAGATGAACTTTTGTACTGATAGGTTGCCAAGACACTAATATTTAACATAACCATTTAGGGCTTTTAGCAAGTCATTTGACAACACAACATATGCAAGTGTGGTTTCAGAACTAATGTAACACTAGTTATGATTGCATTCAAATGATTAGTTATCAGCTTCAGATTGACCACACCTTCATTATCTACATATAAAAAAACAAAAGCACTCTAAGAAACAATTAACCAACAGATTAAAACAAGAGCCCTCAGTAATTGTACTGACGCTGGCAAGGCTGGTGAACAAACAATCCATTGTGCTTGATTTGCCGAGAGTGGCAATCCCTGGTAAGATTTTGGCGACGGAGACTGTTTCTGTTGAGATAGTGCCTTTCATTATGTTCTTTTACCCACTGGGTACGACGAAAGCTCTTGGTTTGTTCCAAAAAACTTGAGTGAGCAGCAAGAGCTGTAACATAGCAACGGATATGCTGTCCCACTTCAGTTTGTGCCTCCATTCTGAAAAGTAACAAAAGGAGATGTCACTTATAGTTCAGGCAACATTTTGAAATTAAGGTAAAATTAAGAGCGAGTATTTTCCTTGTGTGTATAGACAGAGGTTTGCAGCCAGCATTTCAAGGGGTGTCTAGGGTCCCTTTTATACTACAAGTTTCCTGCTGTATTTCTTTTCTATTCACCAACTCTCCCTGCCTAAAGTGGGACAAATATTCTCTCTATCCTCATTCATTTATGATGAGAAGTATTGGCTTGCTTTGTATTTCTGATGCATTATATATGTTTATTATAATGCACCAGAAAGAGATAACAACATGTATTTTACTACTATCAAGGGACTTACGAAATATTTTGCTAGATGAAGTTACAGTTAATGTCAAACTTGAGCAAAGGTAGTTTGGACTATGTAGAAACAGAAGTGCTCAAGTTAGGGAGTGCTCTTCTGGATTTGCTTGCATGACTAGCAAACCAAATAAGGTGTTCACATGTACAGAACTGGGGGAGTCAAACAGTCTAACCTAGTGGGGGCCAACCTTTCTGGCTAGCATGCCACAAATTAGCCCTGCATCCTTCCCATGTGCCACTCTGATCCCCTTTGCCTGATCTGCTGCACTGCTTCCTAGCATTTCCTCCCCTTTGCTCCCTGATCCGATGCTCTACCTGCTGCTTTGCTGCCTGTCCTCTCCCCAATCTGTGTGGCCCACACAGAGGCTGTCTGTACTATCTGTAGTATGCATGCTGGCATAACTCATGAAAGTTAGATCAGAAGTCAGATTCTAACCTGAAGAGGAGAATCACCAGCCTACACAAGTATGCTAAGGGAGGGAGTAAACCATTTCCTTCACCCTAGAACCTGACACAGGTAGTTTTAAATTACGTTAACAGGCACTGACAGGACAGCATCTCAGAATGGAGGAGAAATCCTTTGGTTGTCCAACTTCATGTACCGGAGGTTAGGACTCATATGGGACCACAAGTGCCTGGAAAAGCCTGGTAACAGAACTCTGCTCTACTATATTCCTGGCCTATATTCCTCTCATCCCCCTTCCTGCACACACAGTTGGAACAAGGGCCAGGGTCCCCAACTCCCAGCAGCAGGGAGTTCTTCTGCAATGAATGCAACAGATTAAAAGCAAGCTATTAGGAATCAGAACAGACAGCATGTCTTTCACTCACCCCAGTCTTTTTTTGTGCAATATAAAACAAGAAAGAGGAAGCCATTAGAAATCCAGATTACCTCACCTGAGCTTGCATGTGGGCTGCTGCAGTTAGGAAACTACCATTTGCTGAATATGTAAAATCATTTACAGGGTAGGCAAGATCAGAGCTGGACCTCTACCTAGAGGCACTATGAAGGGAAGCTCTGGAAAGTGGCACAAATGCCTTCATTATGGCAATACAACTGCAACAGCCTATACATCACTAGCTAAACTGTGTATGCCTGGAGCATAGTTTTTTACCTCATGTCACCAGCCAGAACAGCACACAAGGAGCTCACAATAAACTGCAACAGTGCATGTATTAAAGGAAGATGTGACTAACAACAGATTGAAGATATTTATGCAATATCTTTTTATTTGAAAACTATTTAGTAGTAGCAAGGAAGATTTCAAAAGGGAAGAAAGATTTGATGTTTTTTAACCACATTCCCTGTAGTGTTGTGGGGCTCCTCCTTCTATTACTCAGATATCCACAGAGCAGTAGCTTGTGAACAGAGCAGTTCGCAATTATAAACAAGATGAAAAGAGCAGTTCTGAAGTAGCCAGAGGTCTACACATTTTTACTGAATGGAAGCCTGGAACTTCAGCAGTTGTTTGGACACTTAAGGCATGCAGCAGATCTTTGGGAGAATGGCTGCTTAGCTCTTTTGAAAGCATGTCAATACAGGCAATATGAATCTTTAGAGCAGTTGTGCCTACCCTACTGTTATGCATTCTACACTGCATTGTAGTAGTCCATGATGATTAAAAAGCAGCACTAAAGGTTTTGGAAAAGTGTTCTGCAATGGACTTCCATGCAAGGCCCTATGTACTTCAGCAACTTATAGAACTGGGGCCTTAAGTATTTTTACTAGCTTTTTAAAATTTTAATTCTTCTGTCCTTAACAGGGTTCTTTGGCATAGTTAAAGCAGCACTAGGTAGAAAGGGCCAATTAAAAAAAAAAAAAAAAACAAAACTTAGTTTGCTACAAATGTTAGTCCTAAAATTGGTACAGTTTTGGCAGGCAAGACTGTATAGGATGCAGTGTTGCTAGCAGACTGATGAAACAAACAAACAACAAAAAAAGCACCGTCCCAAAAGGAATAGTACTTACTGTGCCAGTGTGTGTTAAGCAGCTTTTCCTGGCCCTACAATGTTAAATGGCCAACCATTAAACCAGCAGAGATTTCAAAATGACTTCTGAATTATTGTATCATCAACAAAAATACAGTAAAATGCTCAATTATATTCATCTCAGCTTTTAAGAGCCTGAAAGCATGGCACTTCATGGAGTTTGTTTACCAAAGTAACTCCTAAATGCTAAAGACCTTGATGTAGTTCAGGGGTAGGCAACGTTTTTTGGCCAGAGTGCCGAAACCCCCCCCACAACGTCTACCTTGGAAGGTGCCAGAGTACCAACATGCTGGAGCCCGGAGCAGCTGCTTGCAGCCTCCCAGCTGCCTGCTGGGAGCAGCCTGGGCTCTGTAGCTGGCAGCAGCTGCTTAGAGCCCAGGCTGGCAGTGGTGCACCAAGCAAAATGGCCTTGTGTGCCATGCTCGGCATGTGTGCCAGGGGTTGCTGACCCCGATGTAGTTGTTTGTACAAGATAATTACTTTATGCCAGGTCTTCAGCTGAAGACATAGGTCTACTGAATTCAGTAAGACAATGCTCACTTAAGTAGCTGAGGATCAGTTGTTTGAAGTTTCACCAAACATCAAATTAAACACTGCATATTGCAAGGTGGTTCATACCCTCATTTCAGGGACATCAACACAAATTGGTATACCCATTCAGGAGAAAAAATGTCAAACCCACTCCCTGCTGAATTGCACCATCCTAACCCAGACTTTTCTATGCCCTTCTTGAAGCCACTTGTAATACTGTTTGTAAGAATCGAGGAGCATCAGCTGCAAGTGTGCTCAGGTCAGATTATACCATGCCTATTTCCATGGTATTGGGGCACCTTGTAATTGCTTTACAGATTCTTCTGAATGATTCTCAGGAGCTCCTGGGTACCCACTCACAGCCTCTTTGACTTCGGCCACACCACTGGTACCCCACTAGAGACGAACCAGACTCTTGGGCCACATCCAGACCAGTGTGGCCATGTGGTATGCAGCACTACAGACGGGTTTCATAGATTTTTAGGGTCTTGCAGCACCACACCCTGCATATTCAGGCATTTCCCATGCTGCTACCTTGCAGACCAGTGTTTAGGAGGTTTTTTGTTGTTGTTGTTTTTACCCCAAGAGATCCTGAGGTCAAAAACAAAAAACCCACGTGGGGAAAAAAGTGGGGCGGTGCCTGTGGCTGTAGTGCATCACCCAAAAATGGAGCCTGCCCTGCCGGAGCCACACGCTGGCTACTGGCCAGGCTCCAAACTGCAGGAACGCCATAGCAGCAGCTTTCCCAGCCCCCAGGACCCAAGGTAAAGCTGCTGGGGCCAGCACAGTTAATCCTACCGTACCTGGGTTAACTTACCGCATGCCAGAGGGTGTGTGGCACGGGCGTTCCCTGGGGACAACAAGCAGTAGCACAATGTGCCACTGCTTGTTGTCCCCAGGAAACCAAACATGTGCACTCTAGACATCCAGACAAGTGCAGAGTTCAGTGTCAATCCACTGCACCTGCTTTTTTCAAATAGTGTAAGCACAGAAGTTACATGGCAACTGAAGTCAGTGGCATTCAGAAAGTATCTAGTCTAATCTATTTCATGATATGCTAGGGTTCATATTTTACAGATCAAAAGTACCAATCCTCTGATGCATCTATAAGCAGCCTTTTATCCCTCTTCACCCTCAAACCCCGTACAAACTTTGACTACACAGACATTCAGTTTCTCCTGGGACAATGCAGACAACAGCAAAAATAGTCACTCTGGGCAACAAATAACCCAGGAACAACTAGGGTTAAAAATTGCTTCTGGGAGAGTTTCTCACAGGAGACAATGTCTGCATACTTTCTCTGCACTTAACCTCTCCTGGGAACCATGAGGAGTAGAGCTGGGGGAAAGGCTCAAGTGCCTTCCCAAGGCCAGGGTCACTGATCTGGAAGAGGTAGAGGGAGCAGTTGTTCCTGCCTGTCCCACAGACCTGGAAGGAAGGGGAGGAGCAACTGCCAGCTGCTCCCTGCCTGCTTCTCAAAACTGGGGTTCCCATTGTGAGAAGCAGCAGGGGTTTTTTTCCATGCCCCTCCCTCTGCTTGCCTGCTGGGCAGCAGGGCCAAGCTCAGGGAACACTCCCCATCTACTTCCTCATGCCCCCTCTACTCAGGGAAGAGGGCAAGCTGTCAATTAATGGCCCCCTTAAGGGCAGGGGTAGCCCAAGGAGTTGCCCTCTAGTGCTCCCTGGCTGGAGAGCTTCCCTGCGAACATCTGTACACAGCCTAAATAGAAACAGGTGCCATAGCAAGTCAGCATCTGAAAAGAAGACTGAAAGCAGAGAGGCAAATTGGACACATCTATGAAGGAAGGCCTCACTGCAAAACAAAGATAGGAGGACATGGTGGCAACACAGGGGGATGAAGCCTGTTAGTGTGCTGTAGTAAAAACTAAGCAGCTGAATTTAATTAAGCAAGGTGAGCCGAAGTTATGGATGCCCCAGAGAGGTCACCACATAAGAAGCTGATGAAGTCCACAAGATGGCAATGATTTACGTTGTTGAGTCAGTACATGGTGTTGCTCAGTATTGATGTGGTCAAGAGAAAGGGGCCAACCAGATGGGTGCAAAGTTTTGGGAGCCGATCAGAAGACAGTGCCACTTACCATCTTTTAGGCAGATTTGGGGGGAAAAGCTTCAAGCAAAAAAACCCACACACATGCTTGTGAACTTTTCTTTATCCCCCCGAAAGTTGAGACTGGTTCATCACTGATACTGAAACCAAAGCAGCAGAGCATACACTGGTAGCACACCTAGTCTCTACCTCAAGAAAATTTAAGATGGTATCAGGTGGTAAGATCTTGGCCACAGTGTTTTGGGCATAGCGAGTGTGAATATGACTAACTCTCCGACAAAAGAAAGCTGTATTAAATCAGTCACATTTGCAAAAAGCCCTTCCCCTGCACCACATACAATGCTGTCTATAAGTGAATCCTAGATCATTCAAGCTAATTCTGAGCCTTTCCAGGAACAAGCCTGTCAGGCTGGGTGCTATACTGGGCACCTACTGGTGGAGAGGTAACAATACACCTTGAAAGGATTACATATACAAATGAATATGCTGCTTTGTGTTTTGATCTGGGTTAAAACCCAGGACAATCAGAACTGCCTCAAATGAGGCATCTCTACAGCCCAATGCTGAACACTTATACCACTTAATTTACAGTTGGGGCTGCTAGGCTCTGGAATGGGCTCCCAAGGGTGCTCTCCCTACCTTGGGGGTCTTCAAGGAGGAGGCTGGATAGATACCTGGCTGGGGTATTATGATCCCAGCACTCGTTTCCGCCCAGGGCAGGGGGTCGGGCTTGATGATCTGTTTAGGTCCCTTCCGACCCTAGAAACTATGAAAAAAGCACTGTACAAGTAGCACTTCTCAACTCCACTTTTTTCAGGACAATGTATTACTTCAAAGCCACCTTTGGTCACAGAAAACTGGGATGTAACACCCACTTCTCAAAGTTTAGCTGAGTCACTAGATTTAACTCCATCAAACTGCTGTTTTCTCAACTCGAAGGATGACTTTCAGGGGAAGCATTTTATTTTGTTAGCAGGGGGACTGCATCAGTCAAGGCCTATCTTCACATGCAAGACAAGGACTTTCACATGGCAGAGATAGCAAAGCTGCAGCTGTGCCAGACCAAAGTGCACCGTCACCTAGGGGGACTAGATTGAAAGACAGAAGCAGCCAACAATTGAACACAAAACTGTTTGTTTTTGTCAGGCTAGACACTTTCTGACCACCCCTCTAATCACTTGCCAATTGCCATTTTTATTTCTAAAAGGACAGGCCAAGTTTGGACAAATTTTTGGACCAGCTAGGACCCAACAGTATAAGTGGGAAGTGAGAGGTGATAATAGGGGGAGGAGGGCAGAGTGGGAAAGGGGGGGTGTGTGTGAGAAAAAAGGAACTATGGCTTCTGTTACCAGGCAATCACTGCATTTCAAATTCATGTCTTCAGTAATTCTGCATAGTCAGGTCAGCCCGTTTAGATTAAAAAATCCTCCTGACAAACTTCTGGCTATTACAAGTAATAGGTTCTGGGGTTTTGCTTTGGTTGGGGGGGGGGGGGGGGGAGGTGGTT